CTGCCAGCTTACCCGAATAATTAATTTCAATAGCTTAAGCCACTCTAGGGGAAATTATCTTAATTGAATAATTTTTTAATGGCACTTTCTTGAATGGAAACTCCTACCTCTTCCCTTATCTTGGCTCTCGCTCCCTAACCCCACCCCGCAGCCCTGCTGCACCAGTTGTCTAGCTACCTCTTTGCAAGATTACCCAAAGTCCAGTTGTTATCAAGTTTATAGAATTTAGTTCATATAATTTATAAAGTTTGTGAGACAATTCAAGTCTTAATTTCGTTATCTGTGATAAGGTGTTGTGTCTTCTGTTGAACCTGCCAGTGATGGGAATCTTTTTACCTCTCAAGGTAGCTCATTCCGTCTTCAGATATCTTTGTCTTTTAGAAAGCTATTTTTTGTTTTGCTTTAGTTCATTGGTTTCAGGTCCACCCCCTGTGTCTGCATCTAGACTTAAATAACTATACTACATACTGAGAGCCAGCATTTCAAATATTAAAGTCCTTTTAGGAGCCTCCATTTTTTCAGGCTTACCATTTCTAGCTTTTCAGGCTCAGAAACATGGGGTCTGGTTCCTTTATGATCATTCTTTTCTCACTGCACTCTAGATTGTCTATATTCCTTCAAAAATAAGTTCCCCGAGAGATTATGTACCACTTTGGGGATGCTTATACAGAAATGGAATAGCCATTTTGGTGGCTACGCACTTCTCATAAGCTATGCTAATGTCAGGCTTTCAGCAATGGCTACTACAGATCTAGATGGAAAATACCACGAGTTACCGGGCGCTCACACTTGGGATCAGTCAGATTTGGGTTCCAGATAGTCCAGCTCTGCCAATTACTAGCTGTGTCACCATGGACAAGCTATTTAGATTCTCTGAGCCTCATTTTCCTCTTAGTAATCTCACAGGGATGTTATGAGAATTAAATGAGATAATGCACATCTTCTGGGTCATATTAGGTACTCCAAAAATGTTCACTCTGAACTTATCTTTAGTTATTTTTCCCTTCACACTCTGCAGTTTTATATAATGCATGATTATACATTCTCCCCTGGGGATGGGAGTGGTGGAAAAGCACACTCATAGACATATGTAATAAATATAGTTGAAGCATGGTATGCCTTTTATTTTTACATCCACTTAAAGTGGTTTATGATTTATGTCGTATCCACACAAGGTGGAAACAGTTTCTATGCAGCATGCAGCATGACCCCGCCGCTCCACTGCAGGCCGAGGAGCTGCCTTTGGTTAGTGGATGGTTTCTCTTCTTCGTCAAGTCCATTGCTTCGGATACCTCCTGTCAAGAAAGAACCCTCACGCGGGCCATGAGGTGTTTATGTTGGCAATTGCTCCGCCTCAGAAAAAGTTTTGACAGCAGGGTGGGCGCCAGTCTAAACATGGAGCATTCAAGGTCTGACCAGGTTAATAGGTTGGAACAAATATAATTCAGAGTCCCAGAGCTGCCATACTATTTTAACTACGACAGGAAATTATCTAACAATTTTAAGCCTATGAGGCAAATATACTGTATCTTTTCACATGACACTTTATATTTGTATAATAGCATGCCAACTTTTAAAAACGCCCTCGCATCTATTATCTCATGTAATCCTAGCAAAGACCCCCAATCCAGGTCTCTTAGTGTCATAAGAGGAAATAGCAGTCTGAGTCCACAAGAGAAGGTGCCATGCTGGGTACGTGATCTGTGTTATTTCCAGTCCTCACAACAATTCAGTCTAGTAGGTAGCATGGTCTCCATTTCACAGGGATCAGCTGGGATTGAATTAAATGTGCCTGGCTCCAAATTCCTTGTGCTTTCTGCAAGGACATCATGTGTTTTTTGTCCCATACTCTAATTTGTTGCCTAAAAGTCAGTCTTTCCCATGATGTGATAGATCAGGACAGTGGATAACTTGAAAGACGGAGTAGTGACCAGAAGGGGACATGCGGAGAGCTGCTGGGGTTGCTGGTGATGTTGTTTCTCGATCTGGGCACTACTTAGATGGGCATGTGCACTTTGGGAAAGTTGAGTTGTACACTTAGGATGTGTGCACGCTTATGAACCTTGTTTTTCAATAAAATGCTTTTGTAAGCCAGTTTTTCTTTTGAAAGTGTGAGCTCTTTATTTAGCCCCCAGAATCTAACACTGTGTTTGTTGGCTGCAGTGGTGAAAGTGAGCTTGCGCACCTTTTGCTCATTTACAACAGATAAATAAGAGCTAAATTCACAGAATTAGGGGAAATGTTGCTTCCTCGAAGAGTGTTGCTTAATCTTTTGGGTCACAGATCAATTGAGAATTTGATTAAAATTATAATAAAAAGAATAACCATTAAAGCATATATATTCTGTATTAGGAACTGTGCCTAACTCATTTATCTATATATCTCTCTATCTCTATCTCTATCTCTATCTCTATCTATACCTCTATCTCTATCTCTATCTCTGTCTCTGTCTCTGTCTCTGTCTCTGTCTCTGTCTCTGTCTCTGTCTCAATACATCCTTTCATCTGTGCCTTAACATTGTGAGGTGGGCATTGTGATTCTTATTTTATGGATTTGGGAACTAAATAATATATCCTTTCATCTCTGCCTTAACATTGTGAGGTGGGTATTGTGATTCTTATTTTATGGATTTGGGAACTAAATCTCGGAGAGGTAAGCAACTTGACTAATATCACACACTCATGAATGTTTAATCCAAGATTGAACCCCAAGTGTTTCTGGTGCTCAAATCCATCCTCTTAACTACTGTGCACTGCTTATCTTTACACACTCTTATCGAAAGAGTGGACCCATCCCTCACTCATCGCTCCATCACACACACACACACACACACACACACACACACACACACACACACTCTGTTGCCTATTATTTCAAGGAATTCATGAATCTCCTGAAGTACTTTTTACAAACACTTTCAGATTGAATAAAATGATAGAGGAAATTTTTTCAAAAAGGAATTGCACTATGGGAAAACATTCAGATCATTAATTTAATGACGTTGCCGTTTTGATATCTTACATTCCCTCGTTTCCCCTGTAAAACTTGATTCCTGTTATTTTTCATCTTAACATTTTGTTATGTAATATGTAACATATTCAAAGGAATGTGTGACAGACAAGTAAATTGGGAAGTACAATAAAATGAATTAAGTCCTGTGAATCCATAATCCAACATAAGAATGATAACATTACCAATACTACTGAGTCTATCTTCGTGTTGTACCCTTATTCATCCCCTGTCTTCCCTCAAGAGGCAGTCACTGCTCTGCCTTTTGTGTAGAACATATCTTTGTTTTTTTAAAAAGTAGTGTTACCACATTTGTATGACTATTTAAAAATATATCATTTAGACTTGCTTGCTTTTGAGTTACTGCTTTACACATTGATAATTTAAAGTTGCACATGCAATCATAATTTTAAAAAAATATTTTCAGTTGAGGTCTGTCCCGATGGGGCTTTTTCTATGGAACTACAGAGTTGAAAATGCTTCATGAAGTAAATATGCCGTTTCCTCTACACACAGAACTGTTAGGTCTGTGGGAAGGAATGACAAGGCAGAGCTGCTAAAACTAAAGACCTAACAGTTGATTTTTTTGGTCTTAGGTATTGGTATATCCCAACGATCTGTAGTATTCTAGGTGTGACAGCTTAGGAGTTAATATGATTTGAACTTATTCATGTTTAGAGGGTGTCTGAAATTGAGAACCAGACAGATCCATCTACTCTGACCTTAAACGTGTTGGGAATTTTTGAAGTATGTCTATATTCAAGTGGAGATCAAAGAAGCCCAACTGAAAGAATGATGGACTGACTGACATGACAACCGTGGATCAAGCAAAGTTCCTTTTAAAAAGGCTATCTTGAAGATTAAGTCTCAAACTCAGGAGAAACTTAGGCAGTGGAAAGAATCACAATGTGATTAAGGAATGTGAAATTCCTTAAGTAAAAATTTATTAACTTTAAATAATTTTGCCAATATTACACATAAAAAAACCTTTACAGATTTGAAAACTCATATCCATAAAGATATTTGCACACCAATGTTCATAGCAGCATTATTTACAGTGACCAGGACATGGAAGCAACCGAAGTGTCCTACGATAGATGATTGGCTAAAGAAGCTGTGGTACATATATACAATGGAATATTACTCAGCCATAAGAAGAGATGAAATACTGCCATTTGTAACAACATGGATAGACCTTGAAATAATCATACTAAGCGAAATAAGCCAAACAGAAAAAGTTGAAAATCACATGATATCACATATATATGGGATAGAAACCTAAAAGCAACAGATGAACAGGACAAACAGAGACTCGTGAACATGCACTATAGACTAGTGGTTTACCAGAGGGTAGCGGGTGGGGAAGGAGAGGGGAGGTAGATGGGGTAAAAGGGTCAAATATAGGAGGGAAGGGGGAGGGTGAAGTGGATAAAGGGGATCAAATATGTGGTAGCTGAAGGAAACTGGACTTTGGGTGGTAAACAATAGAGTATACAGATGTGAAATTATAATGTGCACCTGAAAATTATATAATTGTATTAACCAATGTTACCCCAATAAACTTAATTTATGTTACCCCATTTAACTTAATTTATTATTATTAACTTAACTTAATTTAACTTAATTTATTTAACAATTAAGTTAAATGTTACCCCATTTAACTTAATTTATGTTACCCCAATAAACTAAATTTATGTTACCCCAATAAACTTAATTTATGTTACCCCAATAAACTTAATTAAAAAAACTCTTTACACTTTTAAAAAATCCATATTTTAAGTTTTATAAAATTTGATTGTCATATCTTTCTGGTGAGTTGGAGTTTTCATCATTATTCATATTCTGTAGTGATTTTTTTTGTCTCAATCTATATAGTCTCGTGTTAATGTGACTAACTCAGCCCTCTGAAAATAAGAATTTGCCATTTTCTTCTTTCATTTTCTTTCAACTTTTCTTTGTTCTTAGGTTTTAGGGGTGTTTCTTACATGTATCACGAAACTTTATTTGTATTTTACTCTGACAATCTTTGTCTTTCAATGAGTTTAGTCTATTTTCAGCCATTGCGATTAGTACATATTTAGATTTTTTTATATCTCCGCAATTTGTACTATTTGTTTCACTTTTTCAATGCTTCTTTTTCCTCTTCTCTCTCTGTTTTTTGGGTCGAAAGAATTTCATTTTTTAAAACCCTTAAACAGCAGATTGTAGTTTCCAGAGACGTCTGCAACAACAGCTCTAGTTGCACTATTTTATAGGGAGCAGCCTTGCCACACCCCCCATCAAGAGGTGGAGGGGATTTCTCTGGACCTTGCAACTTGGCCAGCCCTGCGACTGCTTTGATTGAGAGAAGATGGCTGAAGTGACCTTGTGCCGGTGCCAGGCATAGTTTTTCACTGGCCTGACAGCTTCCATCTCCTGCCTTTTAGCATGCTGGCTTTTGGAACTCAGCTGTAAGATCATGACAAGCCCAAGCCACATTGAGAAACCACGTGTGACTTCTGTCAGCACCAGCTGAGCTCTGAGCTGGTTGTCCTGTGAGCAAGGTCTTGTTCACATCCAGCCCCAGCTGCCATCTGGCTGCACCTGCATGAGACACTACCCACCAAGCCCAGTTGGCCTGCAAAGGCTTGGGAAATGTTAATCAACAGTTGTTTTTAGGCGTTAAGTTTTATGCAGCAATAGATAACTGTGATGGAAATGTGGCAGTGGCTTTGGGGCTAAGTGATGAACGGAAATGGACAGGGTCTTGAGGAGATGGAAAATGCAAGCCAGAAGACCTGCGAGAAGACCACAAGTGGCAGTCAACAGGTCTCTAGGAAGTGTTAATGAGAGCTTGAAGACAGTGAGGAACATGACCTAGGAGCCTGAAGAAAAGGGACCCTTGTTACATAAGGACAGCAAGGTTGCTAACACTGCTGCCTGTGGGAAATAGAAAGGGCGCCTAAGAACTCATGGATCTGACTGAGAGATTTCCAGGCGGAAAGTGTGAACTGCCTTCTTCCAGCTGCATGTAATGAAATGTGAGAAGAAAAAGATGAACCAAAGAAGGAATTGCTCAGTTTTTGAGCTGAGTTAAGAAAAGCAGAGAACCCAGAATAGTCTTTCCAGGTAGCAAATGAAAGCTGGTATATTTAAAATATAGTTTATCCAAGAAACGTTCCTTATTTATTCTTTTTAAAAGATTTTGTTGTTAAATTGATGATTAAAAGCGTAATCTTTCGTATTTTGCCTCTCTGTGTCTAACTCATAATGCTAATTTTTAGTTGTATTGCACATTTTCAATTTACAAGAACTTTCCTGTACATTACCTCAAATCCTCCTGACAACCCTGCTGGTAGGCATCTAGGCAAGCTATCGTTAGTCTAAATATTAATAATAGCAACAACCACAGTCATCCTTCCTCCTTCTCCAATTTTGGAGTTCCTACTATGTGCTCACTGTTATGCAGTCACTTATCTTCATAGTGAGTACTATGTTATGACTCACAATTTAAGGATGACGGATACTAAGCCAGAGAGGTAACTGTCTCAGCCAAGAAACAGCTAGCAGGGGTGGAACCTTGATTTGAGCATTGACTTGAAATCCAAACTCTCACTTTATCATTTTCCCTGAGAAGGGCAGGTAGTAATTTTAAACCAGAAAGCGCCTTCAATATGTGGGTTATTTTTATCTTATAAAATTTCATACTTGTTGTCTGTCTCTTGGTCAATCTTTTTTCAGACTTACTATATGTGAACTGCAATTTTAACAAATTGTTTTACTTTCTCCATTCCTACTAGCTAGGAATATACAATATTATAATAAGCTTCTTCATTTGTAAAATAAATGGATCAGATGATCTGTAACACTTGTTCATCTCTGATGATCCTTTTATCTCCTAATTTTCTGACACACGGTTTTTCTAATCATTATCTACAGGGCTATAAATAAATTACATTTGACCAGCAGATGGGGCACTTGATAACTGAATAGGAAGAAGCTTTTTATTGAGCGTCTATTATGTACCAGGCCTAGGCACAATCCTGCTGCTGCTACTTCAGATTTATATATTATGTTTTTAGGCCTATCTCAAATTATAGTTTTTACATGTGGTAAAGGTTTCAAAGGAACACTTACCATTTTACCAAGAAGAAACTTCTCCGTGTGGAAAACTGGATTCAGTGATTGCCGAGACATCTCCCAATGCTCAAGTGTCACGGTCTGAGACCCAGAGTTAAGTGACCTTAGCAGTCCCCACAACCTTTGTGGAGGGGCTGATATGACTGATCCTCTGAGGCCTTCCAGGACCTTCCAGAACCTTCCAGAAACTCAGAAGCTGGAAAATGCATCTTATTAAAGTTATTGTGATCATAAATAGGGTAGAAGCCATGGAGAGTTCAAGAATATTTTCAATTTATACATACATTTTTAATACTTAATATCTTTTATCTATAAATGGATACTAATGTTATCTTTTTTTCTAGGTACCAACAAAATGATGCTTCAAAATAGGAAGCAGAACACTCCAGATGTTTCTGAGACTCCGTTTTCTTAAATCTCTCTTAAGGCTTTCCAATACCAAGTATTTTTATTTTATAAACAGCCATGTTCAGTTGCAAGGTGGTGGACATATTGTCCTTTCATGTTTATAAGTAAGAGCTGTGTTGAGATAGGAGTGCACTTCAGCTGGTGATGCCACTTACCACTGCTGCAACAATCAAATCAAAGATCTGCCAGATCTTTCAATCACCTCTCGAAGGTAGACAAACTAATAGTTCTTCCATCTGCTATGCTTGCACACACGTCCTCATGAAAGGTCACATCCCATTGGGCATAAGCCTCTTCTGGGAGGTGTCAGAGGTTGAGAAACCCATGCAGCTCTTCACAACGAGCTTGTCATGTCTGGATCACGTGGTTGGGTGTCCTCTGACCCGGGCCACGCCTGGTCAGTGCTTTGAGAAGAGCAGACAGATGTGCCAGAAAAAGCTGACGACTAAATCTATCTCTGGGTCTTTTGAGTCTAGCACGTAAAGATCTGCTTTTTCCTTCTCTCTCCTTTTCCCCAACCCCGCCCCCCCCAAATGTCACATAACTTGGTTGTTAATAAAGTAAAACTTTAATGAGGAAATTGCCTCTCCACCAAAATTCATTGTTTTCCTTGTCATTCATAGTCACCTTAAATCTTTTCCTCTGAGCATATTAGTTAGTATTTCTGAACAGACAGGGAGTAAATAAGGAAAAGTGCTGACTCACTAGCCTGAGTACAGCTCTCCATTCTTTAGGACTTTCGGCTTTTTAAATCCCTAATTCCTGTCCTCCAGAGGATTTTCTTTCACTGCGGAAAGCTTTGCTGTTCAAGGAAGTATAGGTAGGAAAAAGAGCTAATGCTTATTGACAGCACACTGGGTGCCAGGCGTTATTCCCTGCACTCCTCATATGCCATCTCGCTGCATCCTCATGACACTGCTATGAGGTCATGCTATTAGGCCCATTACAGAGATGAGGAAACTGAAGCTCAGAGAGGTCAAGTCCCTTGCCAAAGGTTGCACAGATACTAGGTGATGGACCTATAGT